GATTGTCGGTAAACAACCTTGACAAGTAAGATCAGTCACTGTCTTTCGACAAGGTCATTCAACACTATGATAGTCTTATCGCATTATCTGTGCCATTGGTCAGAATAATACTGGGGCTACGAACATTTCTCGAATGACCACCATATGTGCTCATAGGGGTTCTCACTATCAAGATTTGAAATACTTGATACCCTTGTAAAGGTTCTACCATCCTAAAGACATATATCAATACATATCAATGTGATTTACACGATATATAATAAAATGTCTTTTATTGATCAATGAACATCAGTACAAAGAGTAAATTTTATAATAATTGATTGGCTCTAGAACACATACTCTAACAAAATTATCTTTAATTCTAACTAATGAAACATGCTCTTCAATAGTCTCTAACCATTAGACAACTTAAAACAAGCTCTCCAGATTTAATGTAATGGTTTCTTTAAGTTCCAATGAAATAGGTTAATCTAAGTAACAATCTCATAAGTTCGGATTATTTAACTTAGGTTTTGTTATTAAAGTAATAAAATAGAAAGCTTATCCACAATCATTTATTATTAATCGCTACTGATTAAGAACAGATCGATTATGTAATACAATCCCTAATTTTAGCAATCGATAACCATTCAATCAATCTATCGGATTAAGGTAAATTAAACGAATCAAATATAATATTCCATTAAAACATAATAACATTAATCAAATCCATAGAAAGGTAAAAAATTGCATTACTTCATCAATTATGCCATCAATGTTTATTAGGAATTGAAATCCCTCGAACTGACTAGTATGGGTGTGAAAAAGGGGTTTATCGAACCAAGTTTGAGCATTTTTCAAACCGAACCAGAAAACTGGTTCAAGCAAAAATCTAAACCGAAACTGGACCGAACTATTATTCAAATTGATTCTAAACTGAACCGAATAGTTAATTCAAAAAACCAGTTAACCGACTTTGAACCAATTTTTAAATAAAAAAATTAATTTCTAATTTTTACCTTCTTCAAGTTGAAACTCACTCACAAGTAATCAAAATCCTTTCTTCAAGTTTCATCCAATGTTTATGGTCGGTTTGAGTTCTTTGTCATTCATATTTTGGTATCAAAAAACAAAAAGACCGAAATCTGAATTTAAACATTACAGAGATACCATCTTGAAAACCAAAACAAAAACGTGTAGGCACCGATTGACGCCACCTGCTGAGAGACAAAACAAGTTTGCTCAAAAGGTGACCCAGTTGATAAACTGAAGTTTATGTAAGAGAAGGATCTGTTAAAAAGGCTAAAATCCTATGTCATAACGTAAGGTAAATGTTAGAGGTTCTAAGCAGATTATCTTAACATAATGTAAAACAAACTCAAAGCCATAACTAATCACAGAGGACACAAAGAAATGGAAGGAAAGTAACTAAACAGAGGCAGGAGGCTAAAGAGAACTTGCAAACCCTGGCGGCTTTAAATATAAACCTAGGGGAGTTTCGAGGGAAGAGAGAAGATCTCGGCCACACATCTTGGAAAAGGAGGATTTGGTTTGGTATCCACATCATAGCCACACATCATATATAATATATAGTTAAAAACCGGTTTCCAACATTGGTTGAACCAATAATCGAACCGAAAAAACCGGTTCAGGCAATTTTACGAATCGAAACCAAACCGATTCTTAAAAAAACTCAAGTTATAACCAATTACTGACTTGTGCCCAAGCTGTGATAGGATTAGATCTTATAACTTCGATGTAAACTTTGAATGCCCAAAATTACTAGGATTAAAATGCGTAAGTCTAATTTTAAAAAGCTCAAGATGTCTACTTCAAACCTCAAGAAGACATCTTTGTTATTCTAAAACTATAAGATCTTCAAAGTCTCCCCTGAACCTTTAGAGGTCGAATTTGCCAATGTCTGAAAATTGTATATTATACTCCGCTTTCATTTGCATGCCTCCATTCCTTTACAAATTCACAAAATATATTAATCAGTTCAATTAATCATAAAATATATCATAAAGATTTATATAAAGTGATTTCAGCTATTGAACACTTATCAAAGCCTCTTTCAAATCTCTAAATTTTTCACTTGCAAAACATCGAAACTCTTATTCTGATAACTTTAGCTATTATTTCTATTTCTTATAGCCAAATCTTCCCCCGCAGAACGCTTAACCTTTTTGTATCAAAATAAAGAAGAAGAATTTTAATTCTATTAATCTGTTCTTCACATGCAACTTTGATCTCATTTTACTTTTCTCCTCTTTTTTATTTCAGTTTTTTTAAATTCACACGAGTGTAAAGCTTTGTTAAATTCTCAAGAATTTTTCACGCAAACATTCCGCAAAGAGCATGATACATAACTGGGAATTGTTTGCTATTCTTACTCCAAGAGTTTATTTTAAAATACATAAATAAATATATAATTTTTTCTACATTCAGGGAGGTGAAACCTTTTAATTTCTTCCAGATTTTTTCCTGTATATTTACATTCTAATTTGACAGCTTAATTTACAAGGATTTTATTTTTTTCTCATATTACAGTTGTCAATATCTTGGCCACATTAAGAGTATGGACAACCTACTTCCACGACAAAGAAGGAACAATCTTTTATGAAACACATACCACTTAAGCCTAAGGGTGAGCCTAATCCAAAAGATCAGTTTGATAGTTGCGGCTTCACTCTATCAACACAGACCAGACGATAGTCATTTTCCTCTTTGGACAGCGGCTTCACTCACCTATTTGTTATTCGATTATAAATAGCTCTTTTGGTAACCTAACTCTTAATGAAAGCAACAATATTAGAATTTAAGTCTAATGGAGAGTTTAACCCAAAAGACGGATCTGATAGATAAGAGAGCCCTTAAACTTAAATACCACACTTCATGGATGTGAAATTCCAATGTAGGATCCTAACAATCTCCGAGGCACTTAGTATAATTTTTTTTATTTGATTTCATGAGTCAAGAAAAACAGTATGTTTGAGAAAAGTTTTTTTTTTTTTTTTTTTTGGCGGGTAAGGCATTTGGTTGGCCACCCACTTGGTACAGCTCAAACTTAAAACCTCCTGATCTTTAACCAAACACCTCTCAGACCATCTCCATCCCATTACACCAAATTGGTGCAAGTTTCACACCAAATTGGTGTGAATGAATTTTGGTGTAAAACACTATTGCATCTCCAACCCTTGCACCAAATATTACATCAAAAAGAATATTCTTTAGAATATCTCTTTCTTTTTCCTTTATTGTAATAACCAACAATTAATCTATTTCACTCATTATTTATATATATATTAATTAAATATTAGGAATGATATTTCTATTAAATAATAATTACTTTGAAAATTATACTAATTTAATAAAATTAAGCATTTATTTAATCAAATAAATATTACAATTAATATAGAAAAACATTACATCTAATATAAAATGATACCAAAAAAAAAAAAAAAAAGACGACAACAACACAAAAGTAAAATTTCATATTGATAGTAAATTAATTTTCTAAATTAGTATATTCTTCCCACAAATGATTAATTAATGCATTTCGAAGAGCATGGTGAACCTCTGTATCATTGATTTGTCTATGTCGAGCAAGAAAATTTTAAAATCGGACATTTTATCTACTACAATTTCAATTTCAAGAGTTGACACTTTCATCTGTTCTTTTAATTTTAGTGTTTTTAAATTAGTGTTAATTTTTATTTTGAGTTATTGTAGTTTAATATATGCATTGAATAAGGTTTTATTTTTAATTTGTCATCATTTTTTGAATTATATTATTATTATGAATTTATTATTATAAATATTAATACAAATAATCATCATATTAACTTAAATACAAATAATCAAATTTGGTGTGATTTTTGATTAAAATTTAATAATCAAATAAACTTAACAAAATTTAAAAAAAAAAAAATTTAATGGTGCTACAATGCTACGCCAAATTGGTGTGGAGGTACAGTGCCACGCCAAACACAGCAAATAGCGATGGGTTAGACTTCAAATTGGCATCATTTTGGTGTTTTTACACCAAAATGACGTAGGGTTGGAGATGCCCTCACTACCGTCACCATCCTGCCACAAGTGGGTGGTTTGTTTGAGTAAAAAATTCTTATGTAGAAACATAAACTCTCTAGTCAGGATCATCTTGATATTATTATTTTTTTTAAGTAAATTAATTTTCCCTTGTGCTTCAATGACTTGTATTTTGAATTTGCGATTTTTTTTTTTTTTTTTTGGGTTATTCTAATATGCTTGAGTACGTGATGGCCTGTGTGTAGAATTTAATTTTTGAGTTATATTCTTATAACTGGTTTCTGGCTTGCCTCTAAGTATGTTATTCTAGTCTTTAATGTCAATTTAAGTAGGATTGAAGGAGAGTCGGAGAGGTGAAAAATCGTCTGAATTTTAAAAATATATAAATTAAAAATAAAATTTTCAGATTAAAAAAGGAAACTGATGAAGATCCTTTAATATATATATATATACTTTTGGAGGAATCCTTGGTAAAAGGTTGTGAATAACTAATTTTTAGTAATCTTTTTTACCTTTGTTCCGCAGAAGCAAGACAAAAAGATTGATTGAACTCACAGACGGACCCAAGAATTGATTTTGGAGGGAACAAATTCAAAACTCTATAATATAAAATAAGAAAAGAGTAAATGAGTGATATCGAATCAAGAAATATTAAATAAAAACCCATCGGGGTTAAAGCAAATAATCAAACCAAATTATTGGAAGTTCGAAATTTTATTGATTACACATATGCACATTGCGGGCATGCTAGTTGAGATTTTGTTTCTCGTTTTTAAGTTTTTCTTATTAATCATTAATCACAATCTTATAATTTGTTTGGGAAAAGATCAGATTACATTACCAAACACGTGTAATTCAGTTCTATTTGTCTTTGTTATCTTGTTCGTTAACCACCAATCACGATCTTATATTTGCTTCGGTACCTGTTGATTTCTTGTTTTCATATTCCTTTAAATTGTTACACTTACACGTTAATTCAATCAGCAGCTATTGGCCAAATTTATGAATTAAAAAGAGACAATCTGATTGAACATCAAATCTTCCCACTAGCAAGTATATACACATCGCGGGAAACTTAAATTCTTGAAGTGCTAACTGCTTCTATGCTCATTTTTGGCCTTAAAAACTATTCTGCATTCTTATAATGCATCATTTCCAGAGTTTCCAGATACTCGTAATCCCATACGCCGAGCTAGTTCTTCTCAAGACTTGAACGGCTTTTGCCCCTTGATTTATCTTCTTTTGACTCCAAGTCACCACCATTGATCATTTCATTGTAACAGTATTCTGAGTTGAGATCCTGAGATTTACTTCTTCCATTATAACGACCTGGACTGTCAGATTTGTGACTCTGAACACTAGTAGTCTTTCTCCTTGATTTTCGATCTTCCTCAGGACTTACCAGTTTCCAGCGATCGTTCTTGTTAATGGTTTTACGTCTTTCATCATACTCATCTGAACTACTGGATTCATGGTCTTCATTTGATTTCGAATGTCGATATTTTGATTTGCTGCTCTCTTTCCTTGAATGAGATTTTCTACTTGAATGTTTGTGTTCTGCGTCGCCTTTCCTTGAGCGTTTCCTTTCATGACTACAGCGTCTCTCTTTGTCCCTATCCAGCAAATCATCTCCTGAATCAGGATCCAACGTCCTACACCTGTCACTGACTCTTGACCTTTTCCCAGTGTGACTATGATCTCTTTCTCCATAATCTTCGCGAGTTCTGTTTTCACTGTCTCCATTATCTTGTACTTCCCATCTGCTGGTATATCTCGAACTTCTCTTGGCATGAACATGGCGAGTTTTTGTGTTTCTCTCCCCATCTGACAAACTCCAATCAGAATCAGCTTCATGAGTTTGGCTCTTGGTATCCCTATAATCACTTGATTTTTCTGAGACAGTGCTCCTGCGCTTTCGGCTTTTCCTTGTGTGGCCACGGTGCCTATCTCTATCTCTATCTCTATCTCTGTCTCTATCCCTATCCGACCAGCTTCCATCAGAACTAGTCTCGTCGCTTCTGCTCTCATGATAATAATAATCCTTGAACTTTGAACTTTCTTCAGGAAATTTGTAGTCAAGAAGTTTGATTCGCTTTCTATTGTCGTTGGTGTTCCTACGACTGTGAGTGCTCTCCCTAACATCATCTTCATCACCATCATGACTTCTCCTGGACACACTTCTCACACGATCCATCTCCCTGGATTTAGATCTTTGGGACTGAAGCCTGTCATTTACCGTAAGGGAACTATGAATAAACAAAACTATCAAAAAGAAAGCAAAAAAGCACGTGCTATCATGAAAAGACATCAAACCCTCCTTCACCAGAGGCAGTAAACTAACTACTCCGACGTAGTTGAGTTAAATCATAGAGAACATTAGTTCCATGCTAGGATAGTGTTAAATATTCAACGTAAATAAATTAAAACATAATGTGATGGATTCTGTAATCACCAGAACAAATTAACGAAACATCTATATCACCAAAAAGTTATGCAAGTAAAAGAATACCTGTCGGTTTCCATTGCATTTATCTTGTTAGAGTTCTTCATGTGCCGTGAAAAATCTTCATCCATCTGTTTCCAGTACCCAATATCGTCAGTATAACCAAATAAAGCAGCCATCTTCTTCGCCCAATATTTTGGTGGTGGTTTATCCCAATCAGCCCATTCATAGTCTCCACCAGGGTTGCGGAAACAGTGGATAAAATTGCATGCCATTCCACGGGAACATGTCTGTCAAAAAGTGCCAGAGAAATCATAAAGGGTTAAAGGAATAGGGTTTCAACTTACAAAGACCAGATAATCTTTCATTTTGAAGTATTAAAGTACTGGTATCAGTATAAAAAGCTAAAAGGGAATATAACAAAACCAAAAGGTGGAATATATCACACACGAAATATAATAGAAGAAACAAAGAAACTGGTTTTACCTTTAGTCTTGACTTCATATACTCCCCACATATGGCGAGTTTCCATCTTGTCACATTGACAAATTCACATTTGACCTGTCAAGAACCATACACAGATCAATAAACCATGCTCATCCAGTAAGGAAAAGTGAACAAGAAACTGAATAAAGTCAGAAAATGGATCGTTAAGAATATGGCCATGGGAACAATAAATGGGCTGCAAAACTGAATTTGCAGTTATGTTGAGAGAATTTCATTGACTGCCTAAGATATGACTAAAACAATGCAGACCATAGGGTTCTGAAAATTATCACATACGTTCCCAGACTTCTCATAATCGCACAAACCTTCCCAAAATAGAAGACTGTTCTACAGTTTTATAAAATTTATTAAAAACCATCACTACAGGAGATGCCTCTACTTAATTTTGAAACTAAACATGGTTGCATGTAATTAAGTAAAACTTTAGTGGAGGTGAATGAGCTTTACCAAAGCTTATTTACATGACTGGACAGTGATCTAGTTTTCCATAAGCAAACTAATATTAAAAAGATAAGATAAGCTATTGGATTTATAGAAGAAAGTAGAATTAGGCTCTGATTATCTATATAAAGTACCTGTTTGCCAGCAAAATATCGGCCATTGACAGAATGATAAGCATCAACAGCTGATTCCAGCGACATATAATGAACATAGACATTTCCTTTCAAGTGGAAGGAACCATTTTTACACACCTGTACAGAAATCATATTAATTCCTCTAAGGGAAAAAAAATATAGTGTTTATAAAATTTTAGTCAATCTCATAGGTCAAGGACGATTCTGTAATTTTTTTTTTTCTTTTTAAAATCTAGCTTCCTACACATTTACTGTATTTGTTATTTTCAAGTATGCGATATTTAAATACAGAAGCATCCAAAGAAAAAAAGGAGCTCAAGAATCTCCAAGACATCAATTGCTAGTATGCACAATCAACCACCTTGAAATTCACAATTTCTCCAAACTTCAAGAACTCTGTGTGCACATCCTCATAAAATTCTTCATACGAGCATTCAACTTCTTCATCTGTATACTGAAAAGAAAGTAGACAAATCAACCAAGAAAAAACTATTTCATATATAGATAGCATAAATCAAATGAAACATATAACAATATATTTTGCCAAAATAAATACAGAAGCCCTACATTCTCAAATCAAGATAACTATGGTTAAACTTTTAGCTACTGGTTGTCTATAACCTGAGTCAGCTAAAATCCCAAAAGAACAATAAATAAATAAAGTTTTTGAACGAGGGTCTCCATTACTATGGGGTACACAATGTCAAGAACTCTACCACCAGCACAGAAGATTATAGAGTACAATTTAATTTTTTATGCAGCCATTGATAACTTTATGATCCTCATTATAAATTAAAAACATACTTCTCCGATTCAACTCTAGAAATCATCTGCACATAAAAACTAAGTTCTTTTCCTTTTTTAATCTCCTTAGACAGATTCTAATATAAGTATAGAGAGTGCTAACTGCATAAATCGTGTTAACACACAAGGTGGCGGTACACCAGAATCAAAATGTTCAGAAGTAACAACTGTTATTGGATCAACAGCTCCAAGAACCCATGACATGTCTATTGCCCAAGATACTACTAATTGTTAAGGAACAAAGATCTTAAGTCAAATATTCACACAATTAGGTGAGTATTGACAAACTCTTAAAATGCTAATTATATATATGAAAACCTGGACCAAAAGTGTATTAAAACTAATGATGCAAGACATGCTAATAAAGTTTCCTTTCTAATCACAGAAGTATTAAGTTCACAGATATAGTCATTATGATCACACTTTTCACCAAATCATAGGGGCACAGGAAAATGTAAAAACAATGATAAGAAAAAGTAAAGTCAATACAAATAAAATAAATAATGAGAAGATTATGCAAGAAACAGAGGCAACAAAATTAAGCTAAAAAGATAAACAGGAAATTCCATAGTGACAACTCTCATTTGCAGTAAGTAGGATACAGAATAGCTCATAACTTCACTCCAACCAAATCAAGGCCAACACCATAAATCTCCACCCTTGTCAAACCATAGATCTCTGAGTAAATTAAGTCAAAGAAGAGCAATAAAAATGTAAATTAAAAGAAGTCAAGTTCAACCAAGATAAAGTCTTGAACCATTACATAAGCATAGCAGGATATCAGCCATGAAATTTGAATACCTTCTTTCATAATGTATGGATATTGCTTATATAAGATAAATCCAATAATGTATATAGCAATACAGAAGTTTGTCTGTGTTCTTATCAGGATACAATTACAAACCTCAAGCCCTTCATCTTGTTCCCAAGCAAGGCCAGGACCATTGTACATATTCTTGATAAGCAGAGTGCATGATTTATCAGGATAAAAATGAACTCTGCTGCAACTCTGACCAAACCGACAAACTCCAGTCTTTAAATGGAAAGGACAATGAGCTTTATCCTGCCATAAATACATAACTGAAGGTTTGGTAACAATGACTCTTGATAATGAAGGAGCAAGTACAAAAGATACTCACACAGACAAAGTTTCTGTGACCAAAGAGACTTAAACTACCTGTTCAGTCCCAAAGTTTGGAACTTGTCTGGCAACATTCTCTAATGCCTGTTGTGCATTCTGGTAATCAGCGAAAACTTCAGTTTGCGGGGGAAGAGGATTCGATGTAGGCCTATCAACATCCTAAAATTCAAATGGAAAATTTAACAGCTTTGCATAACTGAAGAGAAAGCACACCACAAAGTAATCCAGAAAGTATCTAAACCTAGTTGGAGATAGACGTACACCTACCTCTTTTCCACTAAAATGGTTCACATCCTTCTTTGGAACTCTGACCTTCTTCTTCCTGATAATTATCTCATTTCCTTGCCATATAATTTCTGCAGGCCCTTCTTCAACATATTCCCAATCGTCATCCTCACTACACTCATTCTCCTTTTCAACCTGCAACACATTATACAACCAATGATATCTACAAACAAACATTTCTGTTCCTTATTCAGCATATCCTAATAACCAAAAAACAAACTACAAACAAAGCTCTGATCAGCTAATTTAAAGAGCAAATATTTATATGAGAATCAGAACGGGAATGAGAAATAATTCAATTGAACCAAATAGGTTCAATCATCCTAAAATGGCCCAAAAGTTTCGTTATCTTTCCTTTTCTCCATTTTTCTCATCCATGAAACACTTTAAAAAATGGTTTTAAATAACGAAGAAGTGCTCTGCATTACAACCACTTCAATACAGTTAAAGTTTATTTCACTTGATTAAGATTTCCCTTAAATCGAACAGAGCTCAAAAAAAATAAAAAAATAAAAAAAAATAATTTCTTTTTCATTAGAATTTATAACTCCCATTAACAACTCGATCAGCTAAACCATTATAAGGAGAGAAAAAGAGTCACTGAAATCAATTGTAGTGTTCATAAATTCTACTATATCTTATTTTCTTCTCTCAACACCTCCTCAGCAAGCAAACACAACCAAACTCATTTTCTTCCAAACAAACGAAATTACTACAAATAAAGCACACCTGACGCTTTCTCTATGCCTTTTCTCCTTCATTATGAATTGGGGAACAGATTTCCTATTTAGTTTAGTCCTTTAACATCAAATCTCCAATTACAACTCAATCAACCGAGAAAAAAAAAAAAACCCTCTAGCTTTCTCTTAGCCTCGCCTTTCTTGTTAATAAATTCCACACTTTCTCAGGAAATAAACACACCCAAACTAGTTTTCTCAGCATCCAAACGACAAAATTACTAAAACGAAACACACCTGCAGCTTTTTCTTAATCTCTTCTTCTTCTTCTTCCCTTTCTTGTTCCAGCATCTTCCATCTCTCCTCCTCTTCCTTCTTCATCTCCATTTCTCGAATCAAGATCCTCTCTCTCTCTTCAAACTCCTTCAACGCTCTCTTTCTCTCTTCCTCCGCTTCCTTCGCCATCATCTCCAACTTCCTCTGCTCCTCCGGATCGTTTGCTCTCACCTCCGCCTCTTCTCTCTCCTTCTCCGCTATTTCCCTCCGCTTCTCCTTCCTCTTCTTCTTCTTCGCCAGCTTTCTCTTCTCCTTCCTGCTCACGCTCTTCTCGCTTTCGTCTCCTTCCGCCAGTGTCACGCTTTTCTCTTCTATAGCGTTTGCCTCTGCCATTCTGTATCACAATTATTGGAGTTTGTTCGATTCCCTGGGAATTTTTATTTTCCGGGAAAATTACGAGCAAAAAGGGTGAGTGAAATGTCTTTCACATAGTGCCGTCACTATTAATTCGGGCCGGGTCGGGTCTATTTGCCCGACGAATACAGCTATACAAAACTGAGGTTAAGGTTGAAACACCACTGGGCTGGGCTGGCCGGGGAATTTTTAGTAATTCCTCCACAAAGCCTAAGGTGAGGGAAGTGAATTTTTACCTCCGTCAAATTGATCTGTATCTCCAATTATTAAATATATTAATCAACTAGATATAGTCTGCGTAATATTACACAGGTATATTTATTTAATTTTTTTAAATAAGGTGTAAACAAATTTATTTTGTTAAAATAAATTAAGTAAATCAAGAGATGATAATTATTAAATTATATAAATTTTAGAGTAAATATAAATTCTATATATGTATAGAGTTGTGTTAAGATAAAATTAATAATTGTACTTTTATAATTATTAATTTCAATTAAACTTAAAATTTATATTGAGCTTTTACAATTTATGTAAGTTATATTCTTTTTCAAGTTTGACATTGACTGATAATTTTTTTTTTCTCACAGTATAGAATTCATATATTTCTTTAAAATCAGTAATCTTCAGCCAAATTTTCAAACATCCGTTCACACAGTTCATTCAAAGGTTTTGTTTGTTTTACAGTTGAGACCATGATAACTTAATTAATTTCTGAGTTAATAATTGTAGAACTACAAAATAGAATATGAAGAGACTAACTTTCATCTTTATATGTTTTTATTTAAAGTAATTAGATTTATGGAATGTCTATGTAATGTACTCATATAGGGTGCGTTTGACTTATTGTTTTTATCCATATTCTCAATCCTATTTTTCAAATGTTGTTTGGCATGTTATTCCGAAAATATTAATCTATTTTTTTAATTACATCGAGACCCTATAAGTTTATTAATTTCATTAATACACCCTAGAAAAAAAGTTTAAAAGTTAACAAAAACACCCCCACCCACCAATACCTGCCAGATTCCGGAAATCACAACCGGTGATAGCCGAAATCTATCACAATAGTCACACAGCCACCGAAAATAGCCGGTAATGGTCAGATCTGGTCGGAAAAGGCCAGATCTGCCGTCAACGACGGCCATATTTTTTGCCATCGTTTCAGCCTTTTCCAGCCGTCGCAGCCACAGCAGTTCATAGATTTACCACGGATCTAGCCGGAAAAGGCCATAACGACGCGTTACGGCATAGATCCGACCGGTCTGTGTTGTAATGAAATTTTCCGGCCAGATTCCGACGGTGGTGGCCAGAATCTGGCACTGCAGGTGGTGGGGGTGTTTTTGTCATTTTATATATTAGGGTCTTTAATTAAATTAGTAAACTTAAGGGCTTTTTCATAAATTTTTAAAGTTTACCTCATAATACTCCCCTATCCAACAACCCAATACTATCCCCAAAATCCTATCCAAAATAATAAACCAAACGCATCCATAATTATTATTAATATTCATCCAATGTGTGAAGATGGAAAAATTAAATCAAAACCAGTATGTCAAGATGGAGAATTTTTAGTAGATTCATTAAACAATAAATACAATGTGTCAATCAAAGGAACAATTTTTAATAAATTAATGAGTAACATCAAAATCAAGATAAAGTTGAACATAGAGAATAATACTTTTATTATAAAAGAAATAAGTACATCGGTTTTTCATACAGTGAAATAGGTTTTGATGATGTAGATGGTGTTTATTTTCTATTTCTCTTATATTTGTTCAATTTCTCTAGTGCATATGCATACTTTCTTTTGTTTATGTTATAGATAATATCCATGACAGATTGCATGGTTTTTAATATCTGGTCAGTGACTTCTCTGAATTTGTCTCTACCAGTAAATAGATCATCCAGATTGGTGTCAACTATTTTGAAAAGTTCCCTCAATTCCGGCATTCCCTAAAAAATATCTAAAGCAACTACAAAAACAATATACAATCAAATTTTATAAATATATGGAAATGGTAACATAAATCTGTAAATATAATTACGAGATGAACTCTGGACAGATTTTTTTTTTTTTATGGTTTTTATATTCCTGCAAATATGTATTATCATTTTGTTTGACATTTTGTAATTTAAGATACAAAAGATGTGGAACATTGATACCTTCTAGTTGCCTTGGTGGAGAATTATTGTTGTTGATTTTTTTGGTTGTGATGTTTTGTAAGCCATTTACGAATTAAGTTGTGGAGAAAAAAAATGAACAATTAAAGCATATAGCATCTGAAGAAAGTTAAATGGGTGATTGATGTTAAAGTAATATTTATAAAAGGATAGGATACGAATAGGTGGAATCTGAACAGACAATTAGTACTAAATAAACTTGTCGATCGAAAAAGTGTTAATAATTGTTTAGATAAGGTAATACGAAATATTAGTAGATTATCTGTACAATATTAAAGAAAACCATAATAAATATTTTGTTAATTGTGTAACATATTAGTTAAGTAGTTAATGATGGTTCGGCAAGATGTTGAGATATTATAATAAATAAACACTATGATTTACTAATAATAAAATCTTATTGATACATTTTTAAAGGAAGGGCAATAAATTTTTTGTTAAGTATCCAAGTCAGGGATGATATGATGATGTCATAATATATTTATTTATTTTTACTTGTGATTTGGCAATATGGTTATGAAACATGCATATAGTTCGGCTTCGGTCTTGTTTAATCAATAATTTAAATTTGTAATACAAATAGTTATTTATAGTTTTTTTTAATTAAGATTATAATATATTTAGATTGATGTTTGTTGAATATGTATTTGTCAACTATAAATTATGTTTAACATTTTTATAAACAGTTTTGTCTAATATTGTTATTAAATATCTATTAAAATATTAAACATTGTTTATGTTTTATCCAGTATTTTAGTCTTGTAATTAAAATTTTGTTACTTCATGCTAGAATATATTTTGATTTGTTTTATCTAAATAGAAATATGAAACAAATAGATGGAATAAATTTGAATTAATATTTTATGCGAGAATTTTTGTCATAGTATAAAATTCTGATGGTTCCTTCACATCCATAATCCTCATATTAATTTTGAAAACGCATGTCTATCTATATAGTTTATTCAAAGTTTTTGGGATTATTTTCTAATCGTTGCCTTGTTTATTTAGCAGTTGAGAACATGACAACCCAATTAATTTATGGGGTACTGTATCAAACAATATAAAAGTTGCTCTAGAAAAATTAATAGACATCTAGTAACAGATAAACACGTTGATTGGAAAAGTGTTGACAACTCATTAGGTAATAGGATACAAAACAGTAGCTAACTATTTGTAGCGCATTAAAGGAAAGCATAATAAATACTTAACAATGATTCGGCAGGCAGGTTTCCAAAATATGTTGTGGTTCAGCATGGAATTTAATCTAATCAATAATGGAAAGGATTTTTTTTTCTTTTTTGATATGTTATAGGAATAGTATTTAGATTACTGTTTGTTGAACGTGTTTAATTATTTGAGATTCTCATAATCATTGGTGTTTAATATTTTTATTAAATATTGTTACGTTTTACTGATCATTGTAATTTTATGATCAATTTTTCTTTATAAGTTATTAAATATTTGGATCAATCGTAGATAATTGAGTGAGTTTTAACTTCTATTTTCAGATTAAAGTAAAAAGCATTTAAATTTTTACATGTGCAAGAAATTACACAAGAAACTTACTAAAAATCAAATTTCATACAGACTGTTTGGTAATCCATGTTACACCTATGATATGTGATATTTTCTGGTGACGTTGATCTATCCTAGTGTATATGGTTTCGATTCTCCTTGTTGCAAGTCTCAAATATTCATCTTTTAAATGAGAATTATGGCAATTGGAGTCAGAGGCTTAAATTCTTCCCTGCAATATTTCAGTTCGTAGAAATGATTAGATAGTTTTACTAATTTTATTAGAATTTGTATACCTCTATTGTCATGTACAATAAGCAGAGCAACGACAGTGTGATATATTGCTTGCATATTGTATTTTTGGCAAACTGCAATTATTAGTTGTAATCCCATATGTGTATCATGTTTGATAAAGAACAATTGTGTTCCAAGCAGTAGCAAAACTTGTTTATTTTATGCTTTTGCAAGTGTCTTTAGAATTGAAAGTCCCACTGTTGCTATTGTTGGTATTTGTGTTGTTTCGAAATGTCCCTTCTTTGTAATATTTGTTTTATGTTTGCCTATTTGTTTAGAGATTTGCACCTGTAAATTGTACGGTAAATAATGGTTTCGAAGCACAATATTCGTAATAATTAAAAAAAATCCATAGTTAGGAATCACAATACCATTGCCTGTATGATTAAGCAATTAAGAATAAATAAGTGTGTCAAATATGACTCAGTTAAATATGGATTCTAAAATGCATTTTGGTTTTTTTGTGTATTAAAAAACTATTAACAACTAAAGATGCACATGGTTTGCCACAACCATTCGTATGGTTAACCATTATCGTTATAAGACTCTCGCAGAACAAACCACTATCCTATTGTTATTAGTTGTATGTTTAACCATTTTGTATAATATCATTTTATGCATGACTATGAAAATAATTAAATCAATAGATTAATGAAATACGATGGTTTTAGTAAAACTTATGTTAACCGTATTGCTTGTAAAGCGGTGTCGTCTTTGTCAGTTGCTTTTACAATGATTCATTGTAGAATTTCTGATGGTAATTGTAACAGACCTGTGGGTTATTTTTTTTGTTTTTTTGTAAGGAATCATGATGTTTTGGTGTTGTTTTTGAGGTGCAAGTATATGGAAATTATGTTATCGATATGGTATATGTGGTTTATATAGTTCACATGCGGGTAGCAGACGGTTTTTTTTTTGTTTTGTTTTTTTTTTTTTTGTTATTTCAACTCCTAGATAATGTTCTATTAATTATTAATGAGAGTCAATGTTATTGTATGAATCTGGTTTTTAATAATTTTGTAAATTAATGATGGTTGTACTAATCATTTAATGTTAAGTATTAATTAAATTTAAATGTAAAGAGTCTGAATTCATCTAAATTTCTATATA